ACACGCACACGCACACGCACACGCCACGTCGAGCCGATGGCCTGAATAGAATCGAGACTAACGTGCGTCGCTACGTACGTCTCGTGTACAAGCTTGCTTCACCTTTTTCCCGTTCCCCTTTGCCTCTGTTCTTTGCCGATCGACTTCTGTTGAACGCCCGACGAGATCGTCGCGATGGAGGTCGCCTGAAACGCTAGTCCGAACGCTAGCCGCCGCCTGCCATCGACGTAAATATCGGACACAAGCACGCGAGAGCGCAAACCGAAGTGCTTCGTACTTCTCGTACGAGGCAAGAAACGTCTGCCGGCCACATCACCGGTTGTTCTTGATTTATTGCCAATCGCGGAGGCCAGAAACGTACGAGCCGGTAACCTTCGTGCGCGAGCCGATCGTATCCACGCGGTGGATGATTTTGCCGATCATCGATTTCTCCAGATCTTACCTCCTTACCGCAGAGGATTTTTCTCTTCCCTGTCTCTTTCTTCTCATCTCTCGTCTCTTTCCTCGTTTCTCCCTTTGCTCCCTCGACTCACGTCGTTTCGCGTTCGTACAACGTACACGTCCGGTCCGGCCTTTGCTTTACTTACTATTTCGCATCGTATTTTCCCGCTCGATGCTTTCAATGACCGTTCTCCCGCTATTTCTCGGTTGCAGATCAGAGGCTACGGCACTCGAAAGGCAGCCTCGACGTTCTCTATTTCAAGTTCTCCGACAAGGTGGTCCAGCATCGCGTGACGAGGGCGGAGTTATCCCTGTGGATATGGGGGAGTAACCAAGAGTCCTCGGAACTGGACGAGACCGGTGGCGATTTGGAGAGCGCGGAGAGTCACGAGGACGGTCCGGTGACGATCACGTTGCAGAGGATCCTCCGTGGCACCACGGAAACCGGCGGCCCGTCGTTTGGCCCGCCATTGACCACGAAACATCCGCGGCCGATCGGTTGCAGAGGCAACTGGGTAACGATCGAGCTGAGAAGAATGGTCGCCGAATGGTTCAAGCATCCGCGGGACAATCTAGGAGTAGCGCTGAAGATCTCCAGCCCCGGTGCTAATCATCGCAGGAACGCGAAATTGGTCGAGACTAATCCCGGGGCCGAGTACGCGCCGTACCTCGAAGTGCAAACGCAAGAACTCGACTCCAGAAGGGGGGCCAGGATCAAGAGAAACGTAGGACTTAATTGCGACGAAGCCAGCCAGGAGACCAGATGTTGCCGATACAAGCTCACCGTGGACTTCGAGAAATTTGGCTGGGATTGGATAATCGCTCCCAAGAAGTAAGTATCGCTCCGCGATACACGTTCAACGCACAAATCGATCGTCCCTCCTCGTATATACAGGGTGTTTCGGAAAGACGACGCTTGACGATTGTTTCCATTTTTCACTGTACTTACTATTCAGTGGCGTTGAATTTTTCCAACTAATTTCATCTCCAAAAAATTCGAGATCGAGATCGAAAGATTGCTCCATTGTAAATTTTACGGATGATTTTTTTTTTTTTTTTTTTAAATCAGACAGACATTCGTGGACGTAGAAAAAGTTCTTCCATTGATTGAATTAATCTTTTCTTATTTAGTTATTTCTAAAATCGAATCTTGCCGTTTCACGGACTGTAACTTGAGCGATTACTAAAGAATAATTTGCAAAGTCTAATCGATCGTGATCTTGATTTTGTGCCTTAGGTACGATGCCAATTACTGTTCGGGCGACTGTCCGATGGCCTTTCTGCCAGCGTACCCGAACACCCACATTGTCAGCTTGGCGGAACCGCCTAACAACTCTGGTCCCTGTTGCGCCCCGAGAAAACTCTCCGAGATCACGATGCTGTACTTCGATAACGAGTATCAAATCGTGTTCTCGCGATTACCAGGCATGGTCGTCGAGAGATGTGGATGTTCATAGTCCACCATGATAGCTGGAGAAGAGCAACGGCGGCAAGAAGGAATGTGTCAAGGCTCGTTGATTGATTCTTCCAGGATCTACTACCAAAAGAAAAAAAAAAAAAAAAAAAAAATCGTCAATAATTATTCCTGTCCATTTCCCTATTTCTATCTATCTCTTGCCTTTCTTCTTTTCCTTTCCCTCTAGATCCTTTGCATTTTCTACATTGTTCCTTTCGCCCTGTTTCCTGTTTCAATTCCCCTTCAATTTTCATTGACAGTCTGTGACTATCGTGTGATCATCGTTGTCGTCGTCGTTTCCGTCTTCGACGAGTTTTCATTCGATAGACTGAAAGTGCCTTGTTCGGGGTGATTTTAGTGCCGCAAGACTTTACCCTCATTAGTGACACGAGAAGACGAGATATTCCTTCTATGAACTCAACGAATGGCAAGCAGGACAGCGATCGGTGGAAATCGATGAAAAGTCCGTTCGTTTTTAAGCTAGTAATTAACGGGCACCTTTTGATAGTCGTTTATCGTCCATGGCAAAGCGGATAGTTCCTAGAGTCACGGTATTATTATTAAAGGTGTCGATGCGTTTTACACCTGATCTAAGAGAACGACCGCAGAAAAAGAATTATTTTTTATACGGGAGCCTATTGCATTTAAAAAAAAAAGAAGAAGAAAAAAAAAATCTCTCCTCGGAAACTGATTTTGTGATGATCCGTCTTTATCGAGCTAGAAACTGTTCACCAGTCAATGCAAAACACGAACAAACAATCGTCT